GTGTATGATGGTAGAATTAAACGGTTGTACTGCATTTAAATCAACTAAAAATGTCACTGTTTAACAGATATCTGCAGCTATTTTCACAGTTTTTGAATGTTGCCGTATTCCAGCGTTTTTTATCGTATTTTCTGGTTCCTTTGCTGCCAGATTTTTTTTAATTCATTTTTTTATTGATTTTTTTTTTTTACAGTGTATATTTGAAAAAAATGCCACTATTTGCACCAGATATTGTAAAGAAAAAATAAATCAAATCAAATTTAAACAACAAAAACAAAAAAGGAAAAAGCCACATTTGGTTCTGTCACAGCAGAAAACCTTGAAAGTTCAAAATCTGACAATTCATCTTGTTTTTATAGTAACCAGCTCCGGCAAGCGGTGTAATTTTATCAATTTAAAAAAAAAAAAAAAAAGATAGAATGCCTCTGAAACCCGCTTGCAGAGTTCAGAGGGTTCAAGCTTTGATAAACATTTGCAGCTTCTTTCCCACTAAGTATTTGCTTTGGGGGTAAATCTGCTCTAACAAGATGATGCACAAACATAAAGCCTGGTATTCGTTTTTTTTTGTTTTTTTTTTGCATTTGGTCGTCCAACAGTTTCTTTTACATCCTTCACAAACCATCGACCTCAAAAAATCCCAAATGAAGCATAAACCAACCGGCAGGGCTCTAGAACATCTCGGGGATCCGACCAATACGTTGCCCGCATTAATTTTGCAACGCAGCTGTGCTCACGCTTGAATTTTGTTTGTTTCTGCCAACTGTCAAACAGTGGAAAACCTCAGGAGTGCGTAATGCATTGCATACATGCATGTAGAGTCAACAAAACACTGCATCGTGGAGGACAAAAACTAAACAACTATAGCTTTAACTGACATGTTTTTGCTGCTGAACTTGTTCAAACTTTGACCAAAACTTTTTTATAAACGTTGAATGCACTTTGGAAGACTCTGACATTTCTGGATTTTAAGTTAAGTTTAACGTATGTTTTAAAGAATGTTGACACACCAGCCGTGCATTTTTAATCTAATCATATCACATTAACTCAGGCATTCAGAGAAACAGTACCTACTATGTAACTCAGTGTCTTTACCAAGCGTCGGACTGAATTCCACGCTGGTAATGTTTTCCAGCAGTTTCATGTCAACAGCCTTTACATCGATACGTTTCAGAGCAGGCTTTACATCTCGATAAGGGTTTTTGTTGTTTATCTGAGGTTTTTGTTGTTGGCCTCCGCTGCAGGAAGGCAGATAACGGCGCAGAGAAACCTCACACAGAACGAGGCCGAACGAGAAGCAGGTCTTCTGGGGGGACGCCTTTGAAACCTCTCGGGGGTCTCGGCTTGGAAGCCAATTCGTAATAACACTAACAAGACCATTTAAAGACAGGCTGCAGGACACGAGCAGAGACATTCCCCCCCTCGCAACGTGAATAAGTGCTTTGTGCGGGGGGGAAATAAGCGGCCGAAATCTCCTTTAAACAAAGTGAAACGCGGGAGGTGGAGGGTTGCGGGGGTTTCTGGGAGGTGTGTACTGTTTGTTCTGTGATCCAGACCCATCAGTCACTGTGTTTCTGCAGTCTGGAGCACATTCCACGAATCCTGCTGGGTTTTGTTCTCCATAACCTACAACAACGACACAGTGGCGTCCCGCAGAGCGGAGCGAGTTGGGCCGCTTTAAACAACAAAAACACGACGGTGACTTCACTCCAATAAACATTCTGCATTCAGTTATTCTGCGTTTGTTCAGTTTATGGATCTGACGTGAATCAGGGGAGGCTTTTGATTTAGAATCGGTTGATGTTTTGCTACTTTTCTGTTTCAAAAGGCCAGAACGGACTATTATCAAGGCTGAAACACATCTGTAATCATAAATCCATCTCAGGATACGGTTTCAAAATGTTTCTTCTGGTAAACATGAGGTTATATAAGGCTTTAGAGGACTCACATATGTATCATATTCATGCAGTAACTTAGCTGTAGCTGTTCGTTCCAACTCTAACATAGTTCTGTTTGATTTGTTTACTCACTCGTGAACAATCTAGATGTTGCTTTTCTTCGAGACGTTGTGAGTGAACATCCCTTTTGAAATCCATCAACAAATTCTCAGTTGGGTTGAGGTCTGTGCTGTGACTCGGCCACTCCAGAGCCACCTTGTTGTCTTCAAACCATTTCTGTGTAGTTTTGGCTGTTTGCTTCGGCTCATTGTGTTGATGGAAAACAAATCTTCTCCAAGTCTCAGTTCTCCTGCAGACTGCATCAGGTTGTCCTCCTGGATTTCTCTGCACTTTGCTGCATTCATTTAACCCTCTACTTTTACAAACCTTCCAGGGGTGCTGCTGAGAAGCATCATGATGATGCCACCACCATGCTTTACATCATGATGATGCCACCACCATGCTACACGATGGAGATGGCGTGTTTGTTTGGGGTCCACTAATCGTAGCATCTAGGCCGATGGACAAAAAACTCAGTTTTGGTCTCCTCAGACCAAAGAACCTTCTTTCAGATGGCTTCAGAGTCTCCACATGTCTTCTGGTGAACTCTAGTCCAGATTTAATCTGAGCTTTTTCCAACAGAGTCTTTCTCTTTGTTTCCCATAAAGCTTTGACTGCTGAAGAACAGACAACAGTTGTTGTATGAACTCTCTCTCTCCATCTGAGCTGCTGAAGCTTGTACCTCCTTCAGAGGACTCATAGGAGTCTTGGTTTCCTCCCTCACTAGTCTCCTTCTTGCCCAGTCTTCAGTTTTTGAGGACGTCCTGCTCCAGTCAGATCTACTCAGGTTCCATATTCCTTCCATTTCTTAATGATGGATTCAACTGGACTCCAAGAGATATTCAGTAACTTGGAAATGTTCTTGTATCGTCCCCTTACAACCTTTTCACAGAGGTCTTGGACTGTTCTTTAGTCTTCATGGTGTGGTTCTATCCAGGAGTACTGACCCACCAGTGACTGGACCTTTCAGATACAGGAGTCTTTATACCACAATCACTGAGACACATTCACTGACCTCAGATGAACTTCATTTTACTAACTATGTAACTTCCTGCACCAGTTGGCTGCACCTGAGTTGAATTAGTCAACTTTAATGGGGGTGAAGACTGATCCAATCACTTACTTTGTATTTAATATTTTTAATTAAATTACATTATTTTGTAGAAAACTGTTTTCACGTTGACATTGAGAGTCTTTTTTTGTAAATTCTTGTCAATAAAGCCACATTAAATTGCCCAAGACTCAATGTTGAAAAGCAATAAAAAAAACTTCCATGGCAGGTTAGTAGTAAAGTTTTGTTAGCATTTGTTAGCAAGCATTGTTATATAATAGTTCTGATTTTGTGGTTTAATAAAACATCAAAAGTGGTTTAGTCCTTAGCGAGAACCTCCCTCCACACATATATGGATTCTATACGACAATAACAGCAAAAAAAGTAGGCCAAAGATTAGAGCTGCGGTGGTCTTGAAATCCTGGAAAGATTATGTAAGCGAGAAGCTGTGGGAAGATTCATTGGATCTGATGTCGGAGGTAATGAGGTTCATCTTTGCGTAATATATCGATAGCGTCTTTTCCCACAGGTTTTTCGGAGCAGCAGCGGAAAAGGAAATGCACGTAATTTTGCGATAGCAGGAGAACACCCAACAGCTCCCCACTGCCGCCGCAGATGTGGTTTTGGTGTTCGGGCCGAGTCAGATGAGGAGCTGCTCTTCTCTGTAATTTGCTTCTGTGGAAATGAGCAGAGCCATTTCCTCTGGATCTGGCAGGGGGGGTATTACCGATAATGGGACACTCTGGGACTGACTGTCTCTTAAACTGGGGCAAGACCGTGGCTCGCTGACCTGATTATGCGTGTATGGGGTGATTAACCTCGGAGATCTAAATGAATTCATATCCACTGCGATAAACGTCTGCCTCAGGTCTTTCTTGTGGTTTGCTGTTGTTTCTCCCCCCCTGCTGACATTTGTTTTTTTCTTACTCATTCGCTTTTTAATGTTTCCTCTGCTTTATAGATAACAATATCCACCACTTTGGTGCAGAATATGTCCCTTTCTAGCTCCATGTTTTTGTTGTGGGACTCCACTAGAGTAGTTTTTCATGCTTCATAGTTCCAAAAAAATCCATATTTATATCATACTTCCTGTTAAACAGCCATTATTTAAGACCCTACTCCTTAAAAGCCCACTTTCTTCTGATTGGCCAGCTTCCGGAAGCCTGCTGCACCCAGTGCTTGTGAGCACCAATGGAAACAAGCCAAATTCACATTTTTGTGTTGTTTTACTTGTTAATTTCCTTACTTTGCTTCAAATTTGCTTGATATTGTCATGGAAAACTAGCTACCGTTACATTATATATGATGAAAATGGCGTGGCGTCTTTGCCACGTCAAATTTATAATCTGTTAAAACTAAGAATGAACACTTTAGATACTATACCTCGTCAAGAACGCTAGCCATTAGCTCAAAGCATTGCTGTAGCCAAGGAGCTGCTTCCATGACTGTCAATTAAACCTTGCCTCTTTCCTTTTGTTCTTTTTTTTTTTTTTTTGACATTTTATACTGTGTTTGCCATTTTTTTTCTCTTCTGAAAAAGAAATTAATTTCAGCTTCAAATTTGTCGTCATACGTGACGAGATGTGCCAAAAATTGCAATTAGAGACAAAAATTGGGATGCATAGTACTAATTAATAATATTGCTTAGACTTATTTTATCTGTGTGTCAGGTCATCTCCTCCTAAATGGACTGAACTCTCTAGCAAGTGACCATTCATGGACTGAGCATACCTTTAGCTACCTACAAATCTTATCCAAGCAAAGATCAGCTGCTCAACCCGGCTTTATGTCTGCATTTTATCCACTTAGGTGCTCAAATTCAGCCAAAATATTTTACAGAGCTTAATCAGTGACAGTCTGTAAAAGGTTATGACCAGTTAACGCGAGCTAACTAGCAAGACATCGTGAACTAACTACAAACCGAAAAAGATAAATGAACTCCGTTGTTGTTCCAGATCTCTGAAAAGTTCCCGGATCTGAAGAAGAGAGGAAAAGTTTCTCACGCTCAGGATTTGGTCAAGGAGGCGAGTTTGTCAACCAACCGCTCGATCACGTGGAACCGACCTCGTTGCGGTGTACCGGACTTCCCCACCCAGAAGGACGTGCACTATCGGGGGCGACACCGCCAGAGACGCTTCGTCCTGCACGGAGGACGTTTGGACAAGACGGCCCTCACCTACAGGTACACTTAGTGGACTGTAGCCTGCAATCGATGCGTTTAGGGAACACTGGTAAACCTTTGTGTATTATAAATAATAACAAATAAATAAAATGCATTTTGTCACTAAAAATAATGAATTATAGTGATAAATGGCTTCAACTTGACATTAGAATTTCTTATTAATAAGTAATTTTTGGTTGCTCATCTGTCTGAGCTGTAACTGAATGGAGACTAGAAACTTCTCTGTGCACAGCTGCCTAGTTAGCGCTGATTGTAGCCTCTAATGAGGCATTTAAGGAACATTGGTCAATTTTAGCTCATGTCAGTAAGCAGCTCTTCAGACAGTGAGGTGTTTTTGGTTTAGTTTTATTATGTTTTGTGTCTAGAAGATATTGAAGATAATTTTAAGTCTTATTTTGGTGCAAATATTCATACATTAGCATGAATGTAGCACAACTGATTGGATGCTACAACTGAGGCGTTTAGGGAACATTGGTAAATTTTAGCAACTGTCGATAAGCAGATGTTTAGCAAGTGAAGCATTTTTGGTACAGTTTTATTTATATTTTACCTCTAGGACAGGGGTGCCCAATCCTGGTCCTCGAGAGCCCCTATCCAGCATGTTTTAGATGTTTCCCTCTTCCAACACACCTGATTCAAATGATCATCTCATCATCAAGCTCTGCAGAAGCCTGATAACGATCCTGATCATGTGAATCAGGTGTGTTGGAAGAGGGAAACATCTAAAACATGCTGGATAGGGGCTCTCGAGGACCAGGATTGGGCACCCCTGCTCTAGGAGGTGTGACACATTAAGGTTAAGAATATTCCAGGTCCTTTTTTGATGCAAAGATTTGCACATGAGCATGAATTTATTAAGACATAGACATGAAAGCTGAGCTGTTCATTTAAAAGTGAAAGTGAAATAAATGCATTTTGTCCCTAAAGTCAATAAATAATCGTTGAAAGTATCCGTACAATTGTGGCCATACTGGTGCAGCCCTGCTTTCAGCGTATGAACTTAAAAGATGACATGTCAATACTGTGTTTACAACTCGCGTCTGCTGCTACACGTTTAGACGTTATGGACCCGATGACCTGCAGAGCACTTAGGAAATGAAGTCCTGCACTTATGATTCAGAAAAAGGGGTGCTGGTTTTCTTTCATCTGAGGCCTCGGCACCATCGGGTGTCTGGCGGTCGTCTGCTGCCTCTCTGTCTGAGCCTCCTGGGGTCCCTTTTCATTGTAGTCATTCTTGAACCTAACAGTATATTAAGACAGACAGAGAGAAAGCAGGAGAGGGGGGGAGGTGGGAGGCGGAGTGCTTTTAATAGCAGCACTGGCCACACACTAATTAGATTCTGCTGGATCGGACCAATATAGAGCTCATGGTGACACCTGATGGAGTGATGTGGTTAACCAGGAAACCATCAGGACCCAACGAGGCCACCGTCCCTCCCCGGTCTTGTCAAAATGACTCAGATACAAGTGGAGCCGAGTTAATGAGTCTCTATTTAGAATCGGGCGGCTTTTTGAAGCTCGTGTAGCAAGTTGCGGCAGGACCCTCGAAGTCATGCCGGGTCAGAGTTGTTTTAACGGCTTTAACGCTGGTTAAATAAACTGAAAAGAAGCTCTCAGGTGGCTGCAACATGCTGAAGCATCCAGGATGGTGTGTTAGAGCTGTGGGAGGGGAGGTAGACCCAACAAGTCTTCATCATTCTTTAAATCTGGTGGGTGAAACCAGCTCAGTATTTTTTTTCCCCTTTTAGCTCAGTTTTTGTTCTCCACCGACTCCCAGAAAGAAATACCCTCTTCTTTAACTATTAATAGGTATTTTTAGTCAGTGTTTACTTTGTTTGCGTTAGTTGTTTTCAGCCACTACTGCTTTTGTTTTCTGTCCTTCTGGTCACTTTTTTCTGTGTTTCCTGTCGCTGTTTCCAGTCACTGTTTACTTTTGCTGTGATTATTTGCTTTACGCTACCAAACAACTTGGTGTCAAATGTTTTCAGTCACTATTTGCTTTGCTCTCTGTTGCTGTTTTCAGGTGGTTTTAGTCAGTGTTTACTTTTGTTTTCCGTTATGTTTTCAGGTGCTTCAGTTGCTCCTAACTTCTGTCGCTGTCTTTAGATGTTTTCAGTCACTGCTTTCTGATGCTGTTTTCAACCACTGCTTACTTCTGTCTTCTGTTGCTAGTTTTCAGGTGTTTTTAGTCGCGGTTGCTTTTGCTTTTTGTCGCTGCTGACAGGTGTTTTTGGGTGCTGTTTAATTTTGTCGTCATTATTTGCATTGTGCTACAAAACTACGTGCTGTCACGTGTTTTCAGTCACTGCTTACTTTTGATTTCTGTTGCTCATTTCAGTTGTGTTTACTTGTGTTTTCTGCAGCTATTTTCATACATTTTCAGCCACTATTTAGTTTTGTGGTCATCGTTTGATTTGCTTTAAGCTCCAAAACTACTTGGTTAAGTTTGTACAATTGTGCAAACATTTAGCACAAATCTACAGTTGCTTTCAGGGTTACCAGACCAGATGAGTAATATTTTAATTTTAGCCACTTTATATATCCATCCATCCATTATCTATACACCACTTAATCCTCACTAGGGTCTTGGGGGGCTGGAGTCTATCCCAGCTGACTCAGGGTGAAGGCAGGTTCACCTGGACAGGTCACCAGTCTATCACAGGGCTACACTTAGAGACAGACAACCAAGCACACTCACATTCACACCTACAGACAATTTAGAATCACCAATTAACCTCAGCATGTTTTTGGACCATGTGGGAGGAAGCTGGAGAACCCGGAGAGAACCCACGCTGCACGGAGAGAACATGGAGACTCCACGCAGAAAGATCCCGGGTGTCCTCACCGGGACGCAAACCGGCGACCTTCTAGCTGGGAGGCAACAGTGCTAACCACCGAGCCACCTTGCAGCCCCTTTCAGCCACTTTAAATGTCTAAATTTAAAATAAAACCTGGTGATGTTCATGTGTTTTACTACATATCCTGTAAAACAACCATCGATGAATAAGCCGTATATACAGTATTTTGTTCAGACCCAGTTTCTCAAACTCCAGCAGTTTCTACAAAACAAGAAGCACAGAGCAGGGTCAGCAGTTTCCTCCATGTACAGTCTTTATAGCAACCAGAAGCTTCATGTTTATTGTAGATGTCACAGTTTGATTATTGCATTCGACTCAAGCCCACATTCACTGCCTTGCTGCAACAAATATTCACAAAAGCACCAATTCATAATGAATCCACCATAACAATTACTGTTTTCTTTGTTTATTTGCTTTAAACGACTGTTTTCAGGGAATCGTTGAGCGTCTTTTAAAGCTGTAAACACAAACAGCTCTTTAAAGGTTTCTGTAGGAACAAAGGTGCTCGGAGTCACACTGAGCAACACTTGTGTAATCACCGATTTAAAGCTCAGCAATGTGACCTGATGAGTCACTTTGAGACAAACAGTTCCCCGTTAATCTTCCAGGTATTTGTGCAGCGAGCAAGAAGCTCCGCGATTTGTGGAAGAAAACTCCCCTTTGTGGAGATAATCTGCACACGTATGCGATCGGCTTTTTGTTTTTGTGCACAATTTGAATTTATGATCAAACAAACGCAGCTTGTTTTTAGGAATCAGAGAATTGACAGCGCACCTTATGGGTATTTTTCACACTTCAGCTCCGTCGTTCCCTCAACAGATGATATTTTCTGTAAACACAAGAGACAGTAATTGAGATGAATGCCAGTCGAGTTTTTTATTGCTCGTGCGTCTCCAAATGAAGACCACATTTCCCATAAACCCTGCTGCTTCCTGTCCTTCTGGACTCTCGGTTCATTTAAAAAAAAAAAAAAAAGATGAATCGATCAGATAAATCCTTGAAGGCAAACTCTGCACTGACAGCTTTTATTCCAGTGATTGATCTTTAGGCAATCAGGAAACCTTAATAAACAAAAAGTCTTTGCGATAAAATCAATAATAACCTCATATTTGTTCATTAAATTTGACATGTTTAGTCTAATTCCACCTCTTTCCAAATTCCACCCGTAAATCTCACCAATTAACGTGTTGCATCTTGTTGTTTCGACACAGAAACCCTAAAACCACGCTGTGCACTTCTTTTTTTTTTAAAGGGAACTTCATGTTGAAACTATTTCTATTAGGGTGGCCAGGGTTGCCAGGTTTGGTGCCGCCGTGCCAAAACCGCGGCGTAGCCAGGAGCACTGAACCGAATACAAGCGAAACACGTCCTGACAGATCAGTGTTTAGTCTTCACGAAAGTGGCTTCAGCCTTTTTAATTGCTTACAAAATATCGAAGTATCCCTTTAAATCTTTGGCTCACATCACCGTCTTGGCTTACATGGTTTTTAGTTTCAGAATCCAACTTTCATCACCTCTGAAGCTGGCGATAAGCACAACAAAAATATTTAAATACTTAGTTTTCACCTTTTCCCATCCTGGTGCCAAATAAATAAAGGGCCAATTCTGATCAAATTCAGCTGATATGCTGCTGCAGCATCTCAGATTTTGTTCAGAGTTTACTTCTTTGTAGTTCTGGACCCAAAACTAAAATACTTTTGGCTGAATTTTGAGATGTTTTCAGATCTGGTACTTTTTGCATTTTTTCACCATCGTAAAATTACCTTTGGATCCATTTTAAAGGGCTCAGTATCTCCAGAAGTGTAACTCACACGGCCATGAAATTTGGTGAAAGCACAGACAGAATAGTTTCCAGCAGATCTAAAGGATTAAATGTTTCCAGCAGGGGCCAATTTTTTTCATTAATGGCGCATGAAAATGGAAGAAAGTACAACATTTTGGGTGGTGGGGTGGTGTTGGGGCTCCAGAAAGTTCCTGTAAGTGTGCATATATATATGGATGTATTCATATTTCCTGCTAAAAATACAGACTGTGGTCGACGTTTTATGAACTTTTGAGGCCTCTAGGATGAGTAGAATTTGATTTGTGCGACGCGCGGCAACACAGGGTTCTAGTTTTTTTTTGCTATGTGGACAGAAAGATGTGGCCTCAATGGCAGGACAACAAAACCTGGTGTCCATAAGGGTCTCTATGTTCTCGTAAATATAGCAGTGTGGAAGTATAAAGTAGCATAAAAAATGGAAACTCAAATCAAACTCAATTTCTCAACCTTTCTCTGCCTCAGCGCCTCTCATTGTTTAGTGTTTGATTTCTTCCAAACTTCCAGATTTATGCTCATTTTACGGCGGCTTTCAGATCTAAAAGGCACAAATGATGCCAAATTTACTCAGAGCTTCGTGTAATTTCAGTGCTTGGGTTCTGTCAGTGAAATGAGTTTCTCTTTCCATTATCACACTGGGTGGTTTTATCTAAAAGGGAAGGGAGGGGGTCGCGATGCAGTGTTTTGTTAGCGAGCCTGAGGGCGACGGTAACGGCACACCTCCCTGCCGAAGATATCAGATTAGAGGGAGGCGTTCGAGGCCGGTGGTCTTCCCCTCCTCTGCTACTGTACATCCTGTGTGTTTCTTTTTGTGTGTGTCTTTTTTAAACCTGTGTCTTCTGATTCCCGCAGGATTGTCCGGTTTCCCTGGCAGATGGGCGAGCAGAAGGTCCGCCGGGTCTTCAGGGAAGCGCTGAAGATCTGGAGCGACGTCACACCGCTCACCTTCACTGAGATCCACAGCGGGAAGGCCGACATCCGCATCGACTTCACCAGGTGGGAGGAAAGAAAGAAAAACACCTTTAGAAGGAGCCTGAACACACTGCAGGCTGTAAACTGCATCAATACTGAATAAAAAAGCTCAAATAACATCTGAAAAAGATATTGAAAAGCCCACACTGAGTAAAAAGGAAGCTTAACTCTGATCAGAAGGTGTCAAGTCGCAATGACGAACTGCAGTCACTAAGTTCCACTAAAGTTCCACATCAGTCAATTTCAAGAACTTGTGAAAAAGTTGTTTTAAACCTGATGCATGTCATCAAGTGGCGTCTTTTGAAAAATCTGGAGCCGAGGCGTCAGTAAGAAGCTCCAGGTAACATTAGCTGCTTTTGGTCTAATAAACCTCAATGAGTGACCAAACTGCCACGTGACTGTCTGACTGGATAAGTGCAGGACTGAGGAGGTGCAGCAGAATGCCATGGCCCTAGTCCTGGTTTTCTGAGGCTTTTTTCTTTACTCCTGTCATAATTTAACTCACTGTGGCTCATTTTTCACTGCAACATTAAGTCCTGCACCTCTACGGAAACAGAACAACCATGAGGAAGATCTTCTGTCTGTATGACACAGTTAGAATGACAGAAATCATAACAGAGAAAAGAAGAAGGTGAAGTTTTTGGATCAGGCGATACCAACATTGTGAAAATACGGTGACTCTACATTCCATATATTTAACTATTTCCATGTTTACAGCCTCTACAGACTTTTTCTCTGGACTCAAAAGATGTTTCACCCTGTTGAATGTGTCTTCAACAACTTCCTTCTCTGTTCACTGTTTATGAGCCATGCTGCATTTATTTTATTGGTCCAGCATGTTTTATTTTCCTCGTGTCTTTTCAGTTGCGTTGAACAGTTTACATTATCAAATTATTGAATGAGACATGCAGAATAAAATGATTTTGATGAAATATAATTTTATTTTTCCCACTTGAACAGCACATAGCACATGATTAGTTCAAGGGAAGTTGGAAATCAGAAAATTATTTCTGATGGCCCTGATGCATGGGGTCAGTTTACAAGCCTTTCAAACCTGCTGGTGGGTTTTAGGATCCAGAGAGTGAAAACTAAACTTTTTGTATGTGTTTTAGCCTTTGTTATCCCCTTTGTTTACATGAGGCGATGTTGTGCAATTGTGGCCAACACAGCACTGGTGCTAGCCCTGCTAAAAGGGACTTTTTACACGTCTACACATAAATGTACAGTTATTCTTCCACTAATGTTTTTTAAACAAAGATGGAAGCGTCACATTTGCACATGTACCTCCAGACCTTCAGACTGAATCCATCGTCAGACAGCTGCAAGCTAAGAACTAAAGCTCGAGCTGCTACTAATTATCATTTTCATTGTTGATTATTTTCTTGATTTATTGCTAATTGTTTTGCAGACCAGAAAAGAGTTTCACAATATTACAGAGGATGATTTCCAACAACACAAGATGTCTACAGTTATCTGAGACACATTAAAGCTAAAGCTGGCAGATGTTTAGCTTAAAAAAAATGATTACAAGTACAGATCAGTTAATAAAATTGTTATGTTTTTTTTTTCTCGGAAATTCTCATCTGTGTTCCCAACAAACTCTAACAAAAGTCTATTTATGAGTCTGAACCGGCAGAATCAGATCAGATCAGAAGATTTTTGTTACAAAGGGTTTACGGAGCTGCAGAGATGGAAATGAGATAATAGCGGCAAGAAAGGACAAGTAGATTACAAACACTGGAGTTTTTTTGGTTTTGTTTTTATGGGGGATCTGTGTCATCATTGACATCACTTCATTTATCTTGTTGTTGCTTCAGTTGTTTATTGCTGTGGAGATTTCTTGTTTTTCCGCTTTTTGGTTCAAGCTGTATTGATTGTCACGTCACTGTTATGAAACTGTTGGTCAGATTTTGAAAAGAAAAAAACATTCAAACGTCAGAATTTACACCAACTAGCTCCACACAACCACATCCACCTTATTATCAAATAGGAATGAGGAAAAATGGAACATGAAAAACACAAAATCTCTATAAATCTAACCCAGCGACAAGAAAGGGGAGAAAAGTATTTCTTTTATCAACTGATTGGAGGTTTGTAAAAAAGGACAAATTCACGTTTTCGACTAGTTCAAGAAACCTTTCCTGTATTTTGTTGGTTTGGAGGCTCAATAGAAGACACATTAAATATAAGTTACAGTGCCGGTTTTGTTTTTTTTTAGTTTTCAAGCTCAATGCCAAACATTTTCTCGCCGTCTGTGTCTCCTATAACAGTAGAAATCTTTGTGTTTTGTGATATTCATACCATATAATTATCAAGAGAATAACTGAGCAGGCTAATCAGCATCTTAAAGCACATTTACCTGCCGCTCTGATGGTATAAGCAAGCTTAACGATGCGTTTTTAATTAATGTTTCTGCGTATTTATGGCACCAGTGTTGCCTGTAATTGTTGAATCGTCCTTAAAGCTGACAGACTGTCGTTGAAGTTCTTGTTCTTCATGCTTTAATCCGCTCAAAGTGCCCTTTTAAGCTGATCGGCGCGTTTGTTTTCTGAACCTGCAGCTACTGGCACGGAGACAACCTTCCCTTCGACGGCCCGGGTGGGATCCTCGCTCACGCCTTCTTCCCCAAAACGCACCGACAAGGCGACGTTCACTTCGACTATCACGAGTCGTGGACCCTCGGAAACCACATGGGTGGGTTGACCTTACTTTTTTTTGTGCCACTTAAAGTAAAACATGAAAACGTGAATGTTGCGTTTATCAAACTGTGAACAGCGAAAAGTGACAGATAATGAAAAGTCTTGTGTTTGTGGAGAACGGGAGCTTCGTATATTAAAGACTGGTGGTTGAAGCTCAGTAGAACTTTAGTCACAGGCTGCTCTGACATGGTGGTAAAATGTCTGGTCACATGTGGTATGTTTGCCATCATAAATGTCAGAAGCAACTTGTCGTAGTTTCTGATGTATCTAGGAAACATCTGCAGTGTCATGTCAGCAAGTTAAAAAACCCTCATTTAAGGAATCTGTACCTACACTGAGGCCCCAGTTTGAGATATCGACAGCATCATTCTGGCTTAATTTAGGTTATTCAATTCAGTTTTGTTTACATGGCACCAATGCACAACATATGTCATCTCAAAGCACTTTGGATGGAAAGATGAAGACCTTATAAGTTTTAAACAGATACCCAACAAATCCAAACTTTCCTTTGCATTCCCGTTGACCATGCGCTTCACGATAGTTGGAACAAACAAAAAAACCTCCCTTTTACCTAGAGGGACATAAAAGCCAAAAAAAAGGTCAGATAGAACCAGGTTCGGGGAGGGCGGCCATCTGCCTCGACCAGTCAGGGTGAGGATGGGAGCTACAGTGGACGATGCAGGAGGAGACGACATTATACCTGGTCAGAATTAAACTGTAGACCTGAATCTAGTCACAGTTCAGCTGCAGATATCCACAGTGTGAAGGAACTGACAAACGTCAGATGGGTAAAAAAAAAAAAGATGATGTGGATGTCTTGACAAGGAAGAATTCAATTACGTATTTCTGCAATGCATATCCGGTGTAGCTTCCAAAAGCTAAACTGACTTGCTATATAACACACCTGTGCGTGAAGGAAACAGGTAACAGATGAGTCAGCAGGCAGAGGTACTTTTTCATGACTCGCTTGTTGGCAGTGGATCGACTCAGGTAGCCAAATCCCCCCCTCCCCTCGTCTGCCACCTCAAGCAGGTCAAAACAAACGCTTACAACTATTTTCAGACTCCATCTTTACCAGGTGTTCCCCTCCTCCACCTCACCCCTGCAGGTACAGACCTTCTCCAGGTTGCCGCCCATGAGTTCGGGCATGTCCTGGGCCTGCAGCACTCCCGTGAGCCTGGAGCCATCATGTCCGCATTTTATTCCTTTTCCTACCCACTGAGACTGAGCGAGGACGACAAGCAAGGCATCCAGTACCTGTACGGAGCTCATCCGCTAGTCATGCCCTCGCCGCCGCCGCCGCCACCACCTCCATCAAACCCAGAGACCAATGAGATCTTCCCTAATGTGAGTGGAGATGATGAAACTTGATAATAAAAAAAAAACAATCCTGGGGTGGCTGTGAAGACTGGCTTACCAATCGTGAAGCTGCACCAAAGTCCATGTACGCCCATGAGGAAATGTGGCGATGTCCTTTAGTCGGTCCACCACCTGGGTCCAGAATAAAACAACTGATAACACGAACATAGTCACAGCAGCCAGATGACGAAACCTTAAAGGGTTTCGTCTTCAGCCACCATGAATCTGACATTTTAACTTTTTAGTGAAACATTTTGAAACCTATTGGATGGATTTCCATGAAATTTGTTGCAACGTTTTAGGATGAATATTACGTGTACGTGAAATTTGCATCATCAGATCAACATTTTAATTTATCCAACAGTTTACGAACCAACAGAGAGGAGAACTTTATTTGCCCCTATGGGACCTCACCTAAAAAAAAAAACTAAAAAAAAAAAACATGTGTTGACCCTGTTTGAATTGTGCCATGAATTACACGTATGATGTCAATTTAAAAGATCACTTTACAAGTCAAGAAAGTCACAGCTTGCCTTAAAATTGTAAGTATAACACTTAAAACCTGTACTTTAAGAGACGACACATCCCAAAGGTAACTCTGAACCAATAGAATGGAGGTAAATAAAATTTAAAAACTAATGTTCAGAAGGTTCGGCTGCAACTACTAAAGAAATGCTTTCTGTCTCTATTGTCTGCAGTTTGATTTCAAAGCCCCAACCTCACTGGACAATGGCGCCCCCCCCCTTAAAAAAATCCCAGTTTAACCCCTGTCCATGCGGCATTGAATCATAATAAACTAGACTGTGTTTTAAAGGTAACAGTTAACATGTGTGGCTCATGAATTTGGACAACAATGGAGCTCTATGGCACAAACTAAACAAAATAGCCCCTTTCTAATGGGAGCCATCCAGTTTTATGGGATTTGTTGTCAAGAAGTAAAATATAGAACGCGATCAGCCATATCCTTTAACTGGCATCGGTTTCTGTGGTTACAAGACACTTAGATAGTAAAATATATTTCAGGGCTGCATGTCTATGTGACAGTGAACATCTTTGAAGCTGCACCACATCATACAAGAATGTATTTTTGAACCGTAGATGATAAATGAGGCTGAAAGACAACAGTAATCTTTCATTCCCCGGCCGAGCACTGGGGAAAAGTTTCCACTACAGATTAGTTTCTTGTGTAAAACTTGTAACCGAGAGGTTTTTCACATTCTTGTGATGGTTTGTGGCAATAAAAGCGGTGTTCAGCTGGAGCCCTAAGAAGCACTAAAGCCCTCTTTATCCTTTCAGACAATAAAACGGCTCCTTAACACTTCATCCCGCTGCAGTAAATATTCCCCTTTATGTTTGCGTGTGTTGTTGCATGTGGAAATGCACATGTGATGTGTCTTAGTTCCAGCCCGACGCCTGCCAGACGGACTTTGATGCTGTGTCTATGATCCGAGGAGAGCTGTTCTTCTTCAAGGCGGGCTACGTTTGGAGGATCAGGGACGGGCATCTGGAGAGCGGTTACCCGGCGCTGGCGTCCCGTCACTGGAGGGGGATTCCCGACAACATCGACGCCGCCTTTGAAGACAAGTCAGGGAATATTTGGTTCTTTCAAGGTGGGCAGCGAAGACTTTTGAGCTGCTGTTTTGTGGTTTTTGGTTTCGTGTTGGTGCAGGATCGAAGGGGGATGTAATTGTATAGAAGTAAAGTACCCTTGTAGGCAAGTTTAAATAGGTGTAAAAATGTTAATTAACATGGATGTGCTGCAATTAAGGCTATCATGTGAATATTTCTTTATTTAGATAGAGATAAGGTAATGTGTGCAAACACTGTAAAAGCCCCCTGGACTTCCTAAAACTGTCTTTAATGTCAATGTACTTTACATTTTTTGAGACATACCTAACATTTCCCCAGATAAACTGTATTATGTGACTTTCTAGGCAGGTTAAAACAACCTTAGCTGTTCTTGCCTTGGGAGAGAAGGTCGATAACTTGCTCAAAGACTCAATATGGAATATGTGGATGTTTCAAAACTTTGTCTTGTTCTTATTGCCAGCAAATGAAATGGAATCCACAATACGTTAGTCCAACTTTCCGTACTTTGACTTACCTGTCCCGTCATGCCTATCAGATCCTACTGAAGATGTAAATCTTTAAAAAAACATCTCTCAAAAATGTTGCTAACATTCCCAAACTAACTTTTTCTCCAAACTAACTCCTGATGTTGTGAAGGTCGAAAAATAATTTTAGTACGTCCAAAGTTGTTAACAAAATCAGGGCGTGGTGTGTCTGAAAATAATTTTGTTTGTTTGACATTAAAATATTGGGAAATTCAGTCTGCAAACATCTCCAAGCTAGCTTTTCCTCCAAGCACTCCTGATGTTTTGAAGTTCAAAAAGTACTTCTGTTTCAGTAAATCAAGAGTTTTTGTTATAATTTATATTATTTTTTTTAAATGGATGTGTATCCTAAAACATTTTATGGAGCTAATTTCAGTGCCATGCTAACTTGCTATTGTAACTGATAGCAGCTAACATTAGCATGTCAACATAAACACCAGTGTTTCAGCTTGATTAGCAAGGTGGCTAATATCTTACGTAATTTTTGTTGTTTGTACCAACTAATAAGTTGCAAGCGATACAAGAATCACACCTTTGCAGTTTTTAGTTTAGAAGCTGTGGTGGTTGCTAGAAGCAGTTAATGTTTGTCTCAATATGTCAGTTTAAAAGTTTGTATTTGTGTAAACTGACTGACAGTCCATGAGTGAGTGTTGTGGTTGGTGATGTTTACTGCTGCATAACATTTTTCATTATTATAGTCGCTGAACAACTGTTTCATGGAAGGTACTCAAAGTAACTAATCCTAGCAACTAGCTAAAGTAGCATTACACGCTCATGAAGTATCCAGATGCTGGCTCTGTTTGAGTGGACTCCAAAAACCTGCTGAAAAAGAAGAGGAAAAGAAAACAAATGTGACTGAAATTGACAAATGTGACAGAACAAGCTTTTTCATCTCACTTTTTTCTAATTTAAAGATATTACGGTTATGCTAGCTAAGCAGATCTCCCCTGCAAACAATGCTACAGTTAACATGGACAACGACGTAGGATGAAGCCAGTGCGCAACATGACATCAGCTGTACTTACTAAGGTCTGGAAAAACCAATAAAAACAGTGAATTTTAGCGCTGAACGCAGTCTGCTGTCTCTGCAGGTGAGGACTACTGGGTGTTCGACGCTGAGATGAAGATCAAAGGGCCGGTGTCCATCAGGAGTTTGGGTCTGTCGGTGTCGGGGATCCAGGCGGCGCTGCGCTGGGGCCACGACTCCAACTACAACACCTACTTTTTCAAGTCAGGCAGCTACTGGAGGTTCAGCCCCTGGCAGAACCAGGTCGAGTCCGTCTACCCTCGCAGTATGCAGGACTGGAGCGGCATCCCCGACGACGTGGACGCCGCCTTCAGGGACATCTACGGTAAATACCAGAAGCGTTTGTATGTTAGTTACAAGGACATTTCAATCCAAGACTGATACCTTCACAATGAAGAACAGCTAAAAATACACTGTTTATGGCTGCATACATATATTGCCTATAAAAAGCATTAACCCCTCCTTGAAGTTTTCCCTTTTATTGCCTTTCAACATTGAATCTTGGTAAATATAATTTGGCTTTTTTGACCAGAATTTAGAAGAGAAAAAAAAGCCTTTTTCACGTCATAGTGAAAACTGGCTTCTCCAAAGAAAAGTCAATTCATTAAAAATACTAAGTAAGTGATTGCATATATATTGAGCCAGTATTTAGTAGATGCACTGTATTGATCCTGTGATGGTCTCAATCAGCCTGAACATCTGGACGCTGCATTGGTGCTCCGTTCTTCTTTGTAAAACTCTTTAAGCTCTGTCAGGTTGCATGGGGATCGCGAGCAAACAGCTTTTTTGAGTCTGTTTGCTTTTTAATTTACCGTCTGCAGCTACAAGCCTGCTGCCAAAAAGCATCATGATGCTGCTGCCACCACTGTGCTTCACAGTGGGGATGGTGTGTTTGTCCACCAAACACAGCATCACGTCTAATCACCAAAAAGCTCGATTTTGGTCCATTAAACCAAAGAACCTTCTTCCAACTGACTTCAGAGTCTCCCACATTATTTGACATCACTTTGTAGAAGTCTGAAAGCTGTTTTCTGTAGGATCTTGTCAAAAAAAAACAAAACAAATGAAATTGACCATGATTCAATGCTGAAATGCAGTCAAATGGGAAAACTTGCAAGGGAGGTGAATACTTCTCATAAACACCAGAATTAATGAATTAATGAATCAGTGAAACCAACAACACTGGTTATCGTGGGATTTCTCTGTAAGTGTAAATCTTTTGCGTTCTCTGTTTTTGCAGGCTACGCTCACTTCATCCGAGGACGACAGTATTGGAAATTCGACCCCGTTGGCATGAACTCTTTGGAGGGCTACCCTCGCCACGTCGGCATGGATTTTTTCGGCTGTAGAAGCGTGTGAAGTCTTCGCCTGTGGATAATCAGATTTGTTTTGTTTTTCTTTGTTTGACCATGAAGAGGAGTTTTTGGAACAAAGACGTTTTTATTGTATTCGGATTCAAGAGGACGAGACCTTTAAATCTGTTTATGCTTCACTCCATTTATTGATACTCAGATCAATTACACCTTCTTCTCAGGAAAAACCAAGTTGTGGTCCCTCAGACTTGGCACCTCCTGTGCAGCTATGCTCATATTTATTTTGCACATTTTTGTCACCATAAGGCTGAGATCTGGGCCCTGTATTAATGATGTGTTGATGCTGATGTGAACTGCACCGCTCTCCTTTCTTTGAGCCTGAAAGTGAGATTTTCGGTTCACGGGCAGAACCGATGCAGACTGTCTTACTCTCTGTCGTCAGTGTTTTCCATTTCAGCTGGTTTGTGTTTTCATCGCGGACGGACTCGCTGATTCAAAAGTGTTTGAAGAGTGACATCAAAGTTAAACCTGCATTAGCCCAGTGCCTTCTTTACCTATCAAATGACTAAACGATCGACAGTTTTAGCTTCTTTAGGATGAAGTTGACTTTCCCGCCAACATGACACGCACGTTCCACTAATCACAACATATAAAACAAAAAGTTCTTTTATCACACAGACTTTTTGAAACCTGTCAAGATTTTTTGACAGTTTGATCAATCAGCTTTTGAAGAATTTCAGGTTTCTGGCCCTGAATTCTGTCTCTCAGGCACTCCCCTGCTGTCCTGTGTCACCAGCAGTCGAGTTTTCATCCAAATTTGGTCAAAATTTTCAAAAAGTAATCACAATGAAATGCAGAGTGAAGTGTGATTTCATCTACTAAAGTTATGAGATCTTTACGATTTGGTAATAGTAGATGCACCAATCGTCCAGTGGCCTGCCATTAAAACTGTTGCAGAACAAGTGTGAACATCGCACAGAAATGTGCATTTATGTTTGCTTCACGTCTTGATGATTTGAAGAAGTTTCTGCACAGATGTTTCCCTGCTGCTTTTCAGTCACCAGTTTCATGTTTGTGTTTTTTACTCCATTGCACTTTATCGACACCAACTTTTCCACTTCAGCCAGGTGCTAAAAAACTTTGCAATACTTTGACTTTCTGGTGCTTCCACTCTGTTCATGCACAAAAACAGATGCATGGAAATTAATGGAACAAAGATCTGAGGAGTCCTTGCGTTGCCAAATGAAGAGCCAGTGCAGACACAGCTCCTACAGCCTTTTTCTTATCAATCTTGCAAATAACAGGCTGCTTTTCCACTGCAGGAACTAAAAGCAGGCAGGAAGTGGTGCAGATGTTTACAGGAATGACCCCCAATGGATCCTTTAAGGCTTTTCTGCTTCTGTTTCGGTGTAGAGTCCAACAGCTTTGACCACGACGTTGACTCCAAGCGCACCAAAACGACGACTAGTTGTAGTTACTGAACGTATCTCCGGTTCTCTGTAGGAAACAACAATAGAGGTTGCTATGCTGGCCTAGATGGTGTCTCCTACGTTGTTGATGGTGATGTTAGAGAGGGGATCAAGACGGCAGAAAAATGGTGCTTGTCGTTTTTTCAGGGCTACTCAGAAGTACCCATCCTAGAATTTAAGCTTTATTCTAGACCGTGAAATGGTCGACAGGTTCCTGGAGTGGAAAGCAACCTCACGAAACTCGCCACAACCAAAGGTAGCAACCAACATGCTAGTTAGCTTTGCTGTGCCACTTTCAGGCAGGAACAACTTTCATGTCCAAAAACACCTGCAAATACTGTAATGTTTGACACTACAGTCACATACTCTGTTTGAAACACATTTTTCTCGAGACAGAAAGGCCTAAAAGCAACTCAGGTGTGTGTCACTGAATATAAAACCCCTGCCCTAAACTGTGTACACAAGATGGGTGTAGTTACCTCGGTGCCACCCACTGGTTTGTGAATCGTCGTGTTGAGTTTGGCGTTTGATCGTCGCCATCTTGGTTTGTTGAAACGCGACAAGATCTGACTTTTTTTTTTTTTTAAATCATAAAGTCTAGATATTTAAAATGGCATCTGTGACATTTTAGATTCATATGTCAAATAATTTCTGAGCTAAAATGTTAAAAACAAACCCGTCGGCCCACTTTCAGCAGGTTTTTTTCTCACATTGAAATTTGAGGCTGTTTGAACGACAACAGCTGAAGAACTATTAAAGATAAAAACCTGAGATTTTCAGTTATTTCTCATCATGTCATTAATCTCTTAGCTATATTTAGAGAACCATTTTGAACAATTCTAAAATTGGATCAGACTATCTACCTAAGCTTTTTGTGTTTGTGGTACAGCTGGTTAGACCTGAAAGTTCAACAAGAATAACTTGTGACCAAGTATTTGATAATAAAAACTATTCTACATGTTGAGCTTTATATTATTGTGACATTCAGTTCATTATAGTTCAGAAAATATCACTCGTTATTCTGAATTATTGTTATTTTTGTTAATGAGATGAAATGTTTCATGTCAAATTCTTTTTTTTTTTTTTCATATTTCAATTCACCCATAATCAAAGATTATTTGATCTACTTGTCCAATATTTTAGACTCTGAATCAGTGACATAATGAGAAATAACTGTGAAAATTTCAGGTTTTTATCTTTAGTAGTTCCTGAGATGTTGTTGTTCAAACAGTGAAAAAAAACCCCTCCTAAAATGGGTTGACAGGCAAATTTTAAAATGCTTTTATTTTGAAAAGTATCCGATATATTAATCTAAAATGTTTACAAACATCTTCATCGTTATCCATATTTAATGCAATAAAAATTAGAGGGAAATTAGACATGGCTGAGCAGAAACTGACGTAAAAATGAGATGATTTGAGATCGAATAAGTTGGTTCATTTTCACAGACTTCTGCACAATCTGACTTATTTTTGCGTCTTTTATACAGTCTGTGGTTCATCCTCTGGGCTAAAACATAACGACTTTCTGTGAATATTGGTCATTTCAATGCGTTTCGAGCAGTGGTATAGATTTCATTTCAACAGAGGGCTGTGCATCAAACACTGACTTACCTGTTATGCACCAATTTGTGCCTTTTTTGCAACAATTTCTGCTGGAAATGTGGCCCAATGAGCAAAAGTCACATTTTCTTTCGCAGCAAAAACTTTAGTTTCTTGTTGGTGTTTTTAAATGGATGCATGAGGTCTAAATATTGAGAGCATCCCTGGTGTCAAGTGTTCAGAGAAAGGTTTGCATTTACCTTTAGGCTTCAGGTTTCTGTCTCTGCTGCTGATATCATGTCTGATCCTTCTCTATCTACCTTGACTGTACGAGATAATTCAGGCAGGTAAAGGTGCCGCCTGCCGCTTCATGTCATGTTTTGGTGTCACTCTTCAAACACGACAGCTCCTCAGTTGTTGATTTTCACTCACCGGTTTGCAGGAGAAGCTGCAGGGCGCCACCTAGAGCGCAGCAGCAGCGTCTCCCTGCAGGCGTCACCTCTGATGAAGTCATTGCTCATCTCTAACATGGTGCTCTACTCTGTTGATCCGTGAGGCGTTCAGGGACGCTGGCTGCTGCAGGGATCAGCGGTTCTCAACGCGGTCGTTCGCAAAAACGGCTTTCATTTTTGACCAGTTTCTGCTTTTCAGGGTGTTTTGCAGGACAAATAAAGTCATTTGTCTTGTAGATGGAAGCAGCGGTGGAACATATTTTGATAACACTTGTATTTCCACTTTCTACTACTTCATACTTTAGAGAAATACTTTCATTTTTTCTCCTCTGCATTCATTTGATTGCTATAAATCACATTAAGGAACATAGAAGAAGCGTAAAAATACTACAGACCAAAACTGTCTTCAATCTTAGCGTCCACAAAACACAACATGAAACAACATGTCAGGCTTCACACATAAACAGTGTTTTTATTCTTTTGTTGAAGATTTAATGCTCTTGTTGTTGTGGAGCTGTTTCACCATCGTCCCCGGTTAATGTCTTCCAGATGTGAACAGCAGTTTCTTTGTGCATTTGGCAGAAATGTCCTCAAGTTATTCCATTTAAATGACTTTTCGAAGATCAAACAGGCGAAATTACACAACATGTTACAGAAAATTTAACTATTATTAAATTATGAATCAATAAAATACTAAGATCATTGAGGAGGTGTTTAACTTTCATCCACAGCTAATGTTATCCAGCTGTGGAGAGCATTTTTTTCTTTGTTAAATAACCGTTCCAGGCCCCAAAAAGGTAAAAAAAAAAAAAAAAAGAGAGAGAAAAGAAAAAGAAAGAAAGAAAGAAATTACACAATATTTTGCCAAAAAATGCACACAAGCCATAAATAACCTTGTGCATTAGCAGCTGCTTACCTTAATCATGTTTCACTTAGATTTTTATTGTGACCTTTCTGGAGGAGAGGGAACCTTTGTAAAACTTCTGTAGCTTCATCAGTAAACTGCTGCTCATGCAGTCAGTATTAACAATTTAAAAATGTCATGAGATCCTTATTTTGATCCTTAAAGCACAACTTACTGATACTTCTGTATTTTAAGTTTACTTTCACGTATAATTGAGTATTTGTACACTGTGTTTTGGCACGTTTATGTTTTCCACTGCTGCTCCCGCAAAATGAAAGAACTTTTTAAAAACACTCACGGCACGACCTCTTTGCGGGCCTCCAACCCCACGTTGAGAACCGCTGCTCCGGCACAGTCGGCCGCGTCTCTTTTCGCGGCGCTTTGAAATGTGAAGGCTCAGTCCGGACTGTCGTGTTCATGAGATGTTTCAGTGCAGGACACTGACCAGTCGCTCCAGTTTTCATCCGTTGTTCTTTTCTGCGACACATTTCGAGTGTTAACCAGTGAACTGCTTTAAGACGTATTTATACACAAACAACTCAGCAAAAGAAAAAAAAAACTTTCCTGTACATACATGTCTCTGATTATTATTTTTTTTAATCATCTGTAGCCTGTGTCTTGTACATTGAAATGTATGAGCTGTGTATTGTTTTTCTGTTTTTCTAAGTCACGTATAATAAATTCATAATCTTTTTATCAAACGCTGCTGCCTCCGGAGAGATTAAAGCTGCGTAACCACGGAAACTGATGCAAGGATGCTTTAAAAGCAGACCATTATTTATATTTTATTCATATTTAATTCCAAATGTAAGATGAGAAACATGCTGCATGAGTTTATCTGCTGGTTGGGAATCAGATAAGGTCCCATTACAGCCAAGTCTCAGTAGTTTTCCTGAAATCACAAATAAATTAATAATCAAAATTTATTAGATTTTTTAAAAATTTGCCATGTTTTAAATATATTGTAAATGTATCAACCAGCTACAATATGGCAGAAAAAAAATAACCTAAAAAACTGATTTTAAAAATATTTTGCAATTTAAATTTCATTGTTTATACACAGAATCATTTTTAATTATTCAACAAATTATAGATAATTCAATTCTAAAAAATATTATTATTGTTATTATTATTGAATGAAATGAAATGAAATGAAAAATACTTTATTCATCCCAGAAGGGAAATTCAATTATTATTATTATTATTGTTATTATTACTACTACTAATAATAATAATCCTTTTAATTGTGACTCTTAATTTATATGTCCAATCTTTCTAAAATTCATTCATATCTCTACTTTGAATCATTTGAATGCTTTTTTCCTTCTTTTTTATTATTATTATTTTAATTTTTTTTACATTTTATTTTAGGTACCTATTATTTCTTATTGCAAACTTTAAGCTTTTAATTTTTTTTTTAAAAGTGATTTATATGCCAAGACTTTCTGAAATGGATATAAATTTAGATTAATCTAAATAAATTGTCAGTTACAATTTCAGCTGAAATAAAAATGTTTATTTTTTTGTTTGTTATTAGGAGTTTTTTGGCTTTTAATTATAAATTTGAGGTCATTAAAAACAATCCAAAATGAATATATATTTGTTTTATTTAATTTTATTTATACATTGTTTGCTATTATGAACTTTAAATTTTTAATGATGAGTCTTGAGTAATTACTATGTGAAGACTTTCAAAAATGGATATAAATTGAAGGGTAAACAAATTGCCAGTCAAGATTTTAGTTTAAATAAT